AAAAGTCGCCATAAAAATAAGTAGTAAAGTAAAGTAAAAATATCAGAAAAATCTACTTGAGTACAGTAACGAAGTATTTGTACTTCATTACTTCCCATCTCTGGTGTAAGGGGCAGGTCACAATTATTCCACAGAGAAAATTCATATATGTACTGTAATTACTCCATAAATCAGTGACAAAAATATCACAATAACGATGCAGAGGATTGTTTTAATCAACGATCAAACCCCTGGTTTACACTTTAAATCAGGATTGTTTGATGACCAGAAGTTTGTCATTATATTGTTAAATGGTACCATAAATGTCGCCCCCCCCTAATGGGTACAGTTGTGTACAGTGTGTGGCTTCCATATTTTCTTTTTTTTCAGATGATTTGGTTTTGATGTTTTCAGCCTCCAGGATGCAGTGGAGTGGTTTGCTGGGTTGAGTGTCAGATCCTCTAAGCGTGAGGCTATTTTCTGCCTGAAAAAAAAAAAAAATCTAGACTGGCCCCTCTGCATTAATCCAGTCACCCCAATACTGTTATGAAGAAAGAGCGCGGCGAAAAGGCAAAGTTATTAATTTAGACCATGACCATTAAAAAACTAACAGTAGATACCAGCTTCACCTGTAAGCATTGATGTCAAAAGTACACACATTTGTTACTTAAGTAGAAGTAGAGATACTGCAGTTTAAAAACAGTCTGGTAAAAGTTAAAGTATCAACTTGACCTGTTTACTGAAGTAAAAGTGAAAAAGTATGCCCTCCAAAAACTACTTTAAGTATAAAAGTATAAAGTAACCTTTAAAAAAAAACTGACAGATGCCACTATATGAAGGTAAAGCTACATTTTTCGACTATTTTGAAAAATTCTTTGAGATAGGGCCAAAGATGAGGGAGGTCTTGTTGGTCTCCGTCTCCCGATACGCTCTCACCTGTTTTCGACCTTTCAGACATTTAACATCTTTTTCTGAATCCAACATTGTAGCATGGCATAGACAATTCATGTTTGCAGTTTGAAGAACACCTGCTTGCTTCTGATGATTTCCTTTAGCTAACCAATGAGTGTTTGCGTTATATGACTCATCCAATCACACTAGTTTTCACTAGATGTGGATGGAGCCAATGATCTGCATTGGATGGAGCACATGACGGGAAATAAATATTTATAAACATTAAACCGAAGCCAAGAGTAACGAGTAACGTTTGTTTTAAAAATGTAAGGAATAGAAAGTACAGATACTTGTGTGAAAATGTCACGAGTAGAAGTCAGAAGTAGGAAGAAAAATAAGCCTAAAAAGTGTAATTAAGTACAGTAATAAAGTATTTGTACTTCATTACTTGACACCTCTGCCTTTAAGGCTCCATAATCCGTTGTAGCTAAATGTAAAACTGATACTTCTTCACACAAAAGTCGTCACTTTAAGTTCTAACTTTGTTTTTTTTTTCATGCTCCACTTTTTTTTTCTGTCTGTCCAGGAAATCCTTTGGGATCCCTAAAAATTAGCTTGATGATGCTAGAAAAAGGGATTCTTGGGGTTCCCTTCTGATCAAGGTAGATGTGGATGAATGATGAAAGATATATAATCATTCATATAAAAACAAATTAAAAACAAAAATCATTATTAAAATAAAAAATAAGATAAAATACAAATAAAATAAAAAATAAGGTTCAATTGAAGGAGATTTTAAAATATATAATACTTATAATTTAGATGTTTAGCCTTCTTTATGGGGAACCTCATTGACTGTTTTTATATATTAATATTAGTTGCTGTTGTTTATTATTCTGCTTTACAGCATAATAAACAAATCTATCGTTAGAGGAAAAGAAAAAAAAAACATTTTGCCTTAAACCTGCCATTAATTCCTAATGTATCAGTAATTAAAGGAACAAAAAACTTTTTCAACAGTTTTAAGAATCCAATGAAAACGTTTGTCTTGTTAATCAAATAATTTTCTCACTGCAATTTATTGTTTTAGGCTTAACGAGTTGATAAAACCTGATGGTGGAAAATTCTTCTTTAATTCATGTATGCACAGAACATGTGACATGAAGCTCATAGAAGCACATATTAGCTTATTGCTAGGAGTGATGTCACTCTAATTCAACTGAGCTTCTGCGCTCCAGTCAACAGATGGCAGCACAAACCTGGACAAGATTGAGGGTGAATTCTGTACATCATCCCATTGGGATTAAAATACCAAACACAGACAGACTCTGCTCGATTTAAGTTGATATAAAAACAACAAAAAAAGATGCACTAAACAGGCTTTAACAGCCTCTTTCTCTGTAAGGCACTAAGGCTTTATATTTAAAAAAAATATAGGGAGATCCTTAAATTACCCACAATGCATGGAGGCAAAGAGCGTCATCACCACACCCATTGAGACAGAGCTCGCACATAGCTTGTGTAGCAGAAAATGGGGGAGGGGAAAGAGATGCAGGAGAAAGAAGAGCAGGGATGATACTGACTAAAGCTGCTATATGTCCTTTCTGCATTAGAGAACAAATATATTTATTCTTCTTATTAATCTTTATATATCAAACTAGGTAGGGTATGATATATATTACCACTGTAAGATCGTAAAGCTTTTTATGTTTTTTTTAATATATAATTTCCTTGTAATCTAAACCAAAACACCATAATATACTCACATGAAAAAGTATCTATATAATCTGTTTTGAGGTATTCATGTACAATACTGAGGCTATTTAAATCTGCTTCCAAAGCCGTCAGCTCTGCACAGTTTGCCTTCCCCCAAACAGTCAATTTCCAAAAATAACCATCGGTGTCGGACTCACATCCTGCCCGTATCTATGCACAGAACAACACACTATTCCTTGCTGGTAGGTGGTGCTTTAGTCATGTAACCTGTGTGACAAATGGCTTGCACAGTTTTCACATTTTTCTATGAAAAGTGAATAATGTGCCAACTTCAAGAGGAATACAAGTAGAGGGAAAGAGTGGAGCACTATTGAAATACAATCCAACTTGAATGCATAGTCATGCAGTTTGTGAATACTAACGTCCCTCCATCTATAAGTGAATGAACTCACCCCTGTCTGCAATCTAATGCTTTTCATATCATCCACTAAACTCTCTGCAGTACAGTCACCAATTTATTTTAGCATTGTGACATTTGCCTTTAAAAGGTTGAGACATGGTCTATAGACATGCAGGCTTGTTTTGTGCCGATTACCTGCTGGGAGTCATCATATGCCTCCCCTTCTGGCTCCAGCATTGCCTCTCCCTGGCCTTCCATGGCCTCCTGCCCATACTCCTCAGGCTGCAGGAATAAAGAGAGAGGAGCAGAGAGAGAAATAAGGGAGGAAAACAGCAACAGAAGGACATATAAAACAGGTGAGACAGATCTCACCTGTTTTTTAATAAGCACATATCTTTTAGTAACTAGAACCCAATGTGAATCTTTATAGAAGGCCTCAAACCTAAAATAAGTCAGATTGCCTTTGAAAGCCTAACATTTCTCATAAAAACCTCAAAACCCAAATTTCCTGCATCCAGAAATATGAAAACTGCAGCTATTTTCTTCTTTCCCGCCCTTCTATCAGTTTATATTGTATTAGTCCTTCACATACCTCTGTGGAACCTATAATAATCAACTATCTGAATAGTATGTTACCAGTTGGTATTGATAATAGGTTCTAATTTGGAAGACGAACAGAGCTAATAACAAAAAGCTACTTTCCCCTAATGAAATATAGTATTTTAAAACCAAGATACATAGTTCAGCAAACATTACATTAGTTTTTTCATCTAAAATATCTCAGCAGGTGCTTAAGAAATTATTTAAGTCTGAATAAATCTCATTCACTTGAAAAGCCTCTTTTATTCCCTTAAAATGTGGCAGAATTAGAAGGACAAATGGATTTGTGGGTTGAACAATAAGCTTTATTATGTAGGTTGAGTATCGCATGACGATAGTTGCAGCCTATCCTGTGATCAATGGGAAAAATAATTGAAATCTAGATAAGTAAGTGTTTATTGAATTGAGGAGGAAAGTGAGACACTTTGCAAATAGAAAAAGAAAATTAACATTTGAAATAAGAAATAAACAATTACATTGTCTTCTTTTAAGTGCATATTATCTAATTATTGTATTTTAAGAGTAAAAATACTCATTCCATCAGCAGATCGTCTTATTTAACTGCTCAAATCAAGGGTAAATACACTTAATTTAAGAAATTATTACTAGATAGTTGTTGCGATGTAAATGCTATTTTATTTGGATAAAAACTCACAGTAAGGTTCTTCTACATTTGTAGAACCATCTTAGGTATACTGTTTACGAGTCACTGACAAAAAGACTTGTCGATTTGTCAGCTGCGATGACCTTACTGATCCAACTTTCTCAACCATTTAAAGAGAAATCAACTGTTTTTCTTTGGTGTTCAATTTGCTCCCAGGAATCATTGTTACAACAAAGGAATCACTTAAACACTAAATGTATCATGTTTTTTAAAAAGTTTAGTTCACTGAGTATTTAAAGCAACACGGAGCACAAACCTGCTAGTCAACGATTCTTACTTTATTGTTAATATTTTCAAACAGTAATTTTGCATTAAGGATAAAACTAACACACTTTATGATATCCAAATGCCTTGGTCCTTTTATATGCTGTAAAATGAAAATAATGTCAAGTAATATTTATAGATAACTATTAAAATAGTAAAATTCTTAAAGGAGAAGTCCTCTCATATTCAGAATTCAAACTTCTGAAAGTACTTTAAATATAAAATTATTACATACTGTTCAATAATTGATCAGTGTTTTTAATTAAGAGTAATTTAACTTGAATGTGCTTTACTGGAGGCATCCATGTTTGTCAAAGAACACTACTGCCACCTACTGGTTAGTGACGTCATGGTGCGGTATCGGCTGTTGATCAAGTCCCAGTGCTGTATCTGGTGTTTGTCACAACGCGCTATTATCCAAGTCATCTGGAAAACATTCTTCTTCCAAATGTTGGCTACATATTACGTGTTTTTTTCTCTGGTCAGACGTTCGATGGCAAATCCTCCCTCTTCAAGTTGGCAATCCAACGCGGTCCATGGAGGATCATGAATTGGAAAGGTGAAATAACTCATTTTTTTTCACTTTTACCCGATGTATTCCAACATCCAGCTGCCATGCACGTGGGCATTGTCAGTTTCACTATAGCTCTGGTGAATTTCAATGGTGAAGTCCTCTGGAAATCTTCAATAATTGTTGTTGATTGCAGATGTGTCTAGTAGTTCCCATTGATTTTGCTTGTAAAGCGGGGAGAATGGCGCTAGGCTTACCGCACCGTGACGTCACTGCCGGAAGATGGCAGGAGGGAGGGGTTACTATATTTGGGCATAAACGGAGGATCTCAAACTCAGTGATAGAGACGAAAATTATTGTTTTTATTTTTTTTATGATTAATTATTAATGATTAAATTAAAATTAATTCATTCACCACTAACATATTAGTTTTAGGTATAAATAATGACCCATTGGTTATTTCCTTGCTGACCGGACTTCTGCTTTAAACAAATAATTGGGATTCACTTTTTCTTTCTTATTCAAAACAAAAAAATAAAATCAAGATTAATTTTTTTGTTTAAAACATTTGTGTCATTTCGCTGTTTTTTGCCTTAAAATAAGGCAGATTTAAATATGTGACTCTGAGAGTCCTTTAAATTAGGAAGAATACTCTCAATCTTTGACCGTCCTCCTCTTGCTAGCCATGTGAACAAAGCTAGTGGGTCACACGTCATTTATTTTTAAACCCAGCACTAATCAAGTCAATTAGGCCACAGAGGAAGAACAAGCTGTAATCCGGCATGTTGTGGCAAGATAGTGTCTCTGTTGTAAGTCCACCAAGGAGCTTACATGGCCTTAGAGGATCCACCGTGGGATACCACTCCAAAGACGCACATAATCAGATGGATCACGGACTGAGAAAAAGGGAATGTGCTAAAAGATTGACTCTGATAGCAGAGTTATCTGATTGGTCACATTATTTTAGATGATATCCAGACATTGGCCATTTTTTTTATGGCCACATAAAATCTTCATGTAAATATATCTAAAAATAATATTTTTTACAGAGAAAGGAAAAAACCCCACAGGATTCAATTTGTATGTTTCTATTGATAAACTCCAACAGGGTCCCTGAATACATTTAAACACTCAAAGCAAGAACATTTGGAGATCTTTAAAGGTGTCAATAAGCCAGCAGGACATGAGCAGGACTCCCTTCAAGATGAGTTAGTCAGCAAATCTCAGAGATGGATTAGACTGAGATTAAAGCCACTTCTATCTCTTCTTACTCTTTGCAGCGAGCCTCAAAATATATCTAAAGCTTTATTTTAATAGAATTAGGTTTTGTTAATTCCATATTAAATAAAGACTAATTGCAAACCCTTTGTTTTGCATTATGGAAACGACTGGTTTCACTACAGGGTCCGGATTTTAGCTACACATCTATGTGTACGTTACCTTTCACTTATATCTAGAATAACATAATCTCACTTTCTGGATTACTTTTATCCATAAAGAAAATGAAAAACTTTGATTTATACATGTTCAAATACGTTCTAACACAATAGGATGCTGTTCTGTATTTTATTCAGTTTCAGATGCCAAATCTAGTGCTCTGACAGATTGTTCCTTTGCAGTCCAATTGTTCAATACAGAGTGAACCGTGTTTTATGGCTCGTATTGAGCCACTGAGCGGGCAATTAGGATAAGCTGTCAGGTTTATTATCTAGGCGAAATAGTGGAGCAGTAAAGTTCAACATTGTAGGATTAATGCTACAGGAAGGGAATAAGGTCTGCTCACTGATCCCCAGACACACTTTGACAATATATGAACCTAAGAGAAAGACCTGCTTATATGAGGTGAAGAATCCACATGGGGTACATGCTCAAGTTACTAGTAATTACACTCAAATCTCAAAGCTTACCTGGAATTAGAAGGTAGTTCCTGATTAATTTATCTCTCTCTCTCTCTCTATATATATATATATATATATGTATTGGAAAAATAAATAAAAAGCTAATGTATGAAAGCTAATACAGCCATCATCCTACAGTGTATCTTGCATAAAGCGACATGTTGCCTGCGGTAAATAAACCTCCAGTCCTCTCTGCACATCTGGTGCTGTGATTAAGTCCTTTCCGCTGCTCCCTTCTGCAGGGTTCATCCAAGGTTGGCAAAAATGTTTACACTGGGTGTCCTTCCTGGCACAGCAAATATGCTAACCTTGGCCCCATGTATCAAAGACACAGACGCTGCACTTCCTTCTCTAAAGCATGCCCAATGGACACAACTGACTGAAGCTCAAAGTATGTTGTGTTTAATTTAGGTTAGAATTAGACCCCTGTTGCCCTGACAACCGACATCATGAAGGTCCAAGAGAAACTCATGTTGATCCATGAAAGCAAGAAGTTCTAGGACCCCCTGCAGTCTGCAGTGGAGTTGGAGTAAAAGAAGTCATCATATACCTGCATTAACAAACCTGCTTTCATTTAGACAGACAGCACTGTGAGGGTACTTTCTGCATTAAACATGATTCAGCCTGCTCTGCTTTGGCAAAAACTCAAGAGGTGGAGGCATCAACAATCGCCTAGATGTAGGACTACCTAACAGTCTTGTCTAGAAACACTTGGTTAAAACTTTAAGGGTAAAGAAAGTTCTTACTTTGTAAAATAAGTGTTTATTTCACATCTGTATACCTCAAAAAATGTATCTGTGCTTTGATTTTCTCATTTCTTATAGAAATTATCATGATTTTAGATTCTGGATGCAGGTTAGCATCTGTGATCTCAGCAATTCAACAAAGTCTTGGGGAAAAAATCTATATCTTATTTATAGGTTATTACAGAAGCAGCCATTAAAAATTTCCCCACTTTCCTTGATTGGCCCTTGACTGGTCTCCTACAATTCCTTTTTAAACATCAATCTTTGTACTAAAATATTCTTTCTGTCATGATTTGTGGACATTAAGATCTAAAGAGAAGCGTCATCTCCTGGTCAGACCCTGTATTTCAGTGAATGGTAGGAGTCAGTGTAAAAAAAATGAACGCCAAGGAGAAGGCCAGTGGCTGAATGTTGGAGGGGATTTTGCTGGGAGTCGCAGGGAAGTGGGCTGCCATTCGGCTGTTGTTTGACTGGAAATGGCCATTTTGAATGGCTGCTACTGTACATCTGTCATACTTCCAGTGTATTCTCATTATCAGTTCGTATGAAATAGTACGAAAAGTCATGCACAGTAATTTCGTACGTTTTGACGTTTTTTTCGTTGTATTTCGTCACATTTTTACGTCTTGCCTCGAGACAAAATATCCTTGCGCATGCGCATCTTACGCACCATTTAATAACATAGAATTTAAGATAGAATTAACCCTGACCCTAACCCTAAGATACAAAACAGCAAGCAACGTAGTTAGAGACATCAAGAAGTAATTATTGCACTGTTTTTCCAAGTTTTACGTCCGTCCGCAGATCTGCTTTTTTCGTCTGTCCAGTAGCGCATGCGCACTGATCTGTTTTTTCGAGGAAAAACGTCAAAAACGTATGAAATACTGTGCATAACTTTTCGTACGATTTCATACGAACTGATAATGAGAATATGTTGATACTTCAGGTAGATGTCCCAATCTTTACTGCAGTAATGAGCTGTGCTTACGTTCATGTCAGTCGGGAACTCATCCTTCTTTACCAAACCAGTGGCAGCGACGATGTTCCCGACAGCTCCGGTGGTCTTCTCAGCCACTGCAGACACGCATGTGCAAACACATACACCAATGTTACACTATCCCTCTACACCCTACACACACATGAAATCTTCTGTGCAACTTCCTTGTGTTTCATAAATGACCATCCACTGTAACACCTGCTCACACCTGACCTTTAATCACCTTTTTTTATTCTGATAGATGAGTTAATTACTAATTACAGCTTTGCTAAAACATTACAATAATTCATTCACTACTGCTTTTATATTTGTCTGCCAGCTTAAAAAAACCCCCAAAAAGTCAATTTTTTTCCTTCTAATCAGGTAACAACACAGCTAAGCATTAATTCCAAAAAAGTTTCCAAGTTTGAAGAAGTTTCGCTTTCCATCCAGGAAGCTTTTCAATTCAAAATGTTAGGAATAGCGTTGAGCCGAGGCTTTACAGAGCAAACCAAAAACAAAGCCTTATTTTGGCTTAGAAAACATGCAAATTGAACCTGATGGACGGGTCCACCCCTTAGCAATGGGGGTCCTTTGGGCCTTTTGGTTCCTAAGGGGCGGACCCCTTTGTCAATTTCACTGTGCTTATATTATTTTTTGTGATTCGGTTTGAAGTGGCTCAGTAGCTTCCAACTGTTTATAGATGGTTATGTTTTTATTATCATGTTAAAACAGAATCCCCATTAAGTCAAAACTAAAAATCTATCTGCAGAACATAGCTTCATAAAAAAATTAGGGACGGGATTAATGAACAGAGTACTACCAGAAACTCACCTGAGCCCACGCTGTCTTTGGCCTTGCTACCTGAATAAAGGAGTAGAAAGAAAAACAGTAAGAAAATAGACTTTTGGACCCATTTGACATTTAGAAAGTATTAATAAACACCACAAAAACATATCTAGATATATTTTCTATAATTGTGTGCAATATGTGCATTTGCCCTAATTTGATCATATAAATAAGATGATTTTTTTTTATTAAATTAGTTATTTTGCCCTTAAAATAAGATATCAGATGTTATGTACTAGAAAAAAAGAAAATTGCATTTTTTTTTCTTTTAAATGTAAACCCTCTTAATCCTGCTTTTTTCCCCCTCACCTAAATTTAACATTAAAAAATGAAAACAACATAAATTATAGCTTTGATTTCAATCATCCCTTCTGGGAGATGACTATAGTTTAAAGGGCAACGCAATCCAAGGAGTGAAATATAAAAATATAAAAGAGTAAATTTTGTACTTAGTGATATCACACAGTGAGCTAGTTTATCTGCAATGAGTACACATGTAAGAACAAAATGTGGTTAAATGATGTCAGTCTGAGCTTTGAAACCCCAAAAGTTAGTTGGCAAAAAAAAAAAAATCCAGACTTTCCAAAAATGCAATTTACAAAAAATATGATTATTCAATAAAATCAAAGAATCACCCATCCCCAAAATTAAAATTTTCTGTCAGAGCTTCTTTCTTGATCACCAGAGAATATAATAATCTTGAACACAACTGATGTCACTACCAGACAGAAATGAAATAAAACAGCGTCATGGTCCATGTATTATTCAGTGACAGTAGGACGTAAATAAGAACTATTAACCTTTCAGTTAAAAACACTTTATAGGCAGTTTAAACTACAATGAAGTTATTGTCAGGTCCCTGACCTTTAGCAGACATCATCAATCTACTCTGAAGGTATTTAAGCATGCTGCTGTGTGTGAATAGTGATCCATCAGCGCCTGTCATCCTTTTTGGTGCACAGCACACACTTTTTGATTGGCTGCAGACGACCAAGGAGGTACAAATATGGATGAAATACAGGATTTTCTCTGCAAAACAATATGCAATCCCATCTAAACATCCTGCAGTTCATGTCACAATGTGGTTCAAATTAGGGATGCACGATATAATCGGCCCCCTATCGGTATCAGCCTTAAAACTGAATATCGGACATCGGCCACCCCACCGATATTTAACCCGATATCCTCAAAAACTTCTTTTTTACAGATTTAAAAGCTTCTAAAGAAGAGGGAAAAAATATTGATACATTAAAATATCACAATATCTTCATACCATTTAAAAACACCATATCAATCTCTTTTACTAATGAAATATTGCTATATGTCATCGTTATGATACGAAATCCCTCGAAAATTCACAAAATGTTGCCATACTTTTATTTGTTGATATATTGACGCGGTATCGATCTATTTTACTAACAAAATCTCACAAGAATTTGCAAAATATCACGAGAGTTTGTAAAAGAACGATGAAATTTCAGTAAAATAGATCGATACCGCGTTTTTAAAAATCAATTTGATATCAGCATATGAAAATATATTTGAGTATATTATTTTTCAAAGTGTCAGGAATGGATAACAAAACTGCTATTTTCAATGACTACTTATTTTTGTCCAGCTTTAACATCGGTATCGATATCGGTTATCGGCTGCATGAGTTTTAAAATATCGGCATATCGGATATCGGCCAAAATCCCAATATCGTGCATCCCTAGTTCAAAACATTGTTGGGATTGAAACATCAAAATGATACTGAAATATGTGTAAATTAATATAAAATACAGAACAAAATACAAAAACAAAACCCCCTCCTAAAAAAAATAAAATTATGTACTTTTATTGCCATTCTTTTGAGAATTCAGGTTAAATCAATCATCCAGTCTTTTTCTCATCAGTCCACCCCCTATGTGTAAGCCATGTTAGGTAACACTGACGACACATTTAGTGTGAATACTGTTAATGAGAGAAGAAGACTTTAGCTATTTCCAGTGTCAGAGCATTTTTATAAATTGTGTAGAAGCAGGAAGATCTAAAAAATTATTCAAAATTAAAATATTTTTTTATCTGTTACTTGTGTTGCAATAAAGTAAGAGACAGTGAGAGACATACAGTGTGTTATATAAAAGGAATTTCACCTTTTTTAAAAAGAAAAGAAAAATATTCACACCCTTTTGAAAATAAAACTTAAGCTGGGAACGTAATCTAGGAAATGATAAGCTTGTCTAGGACAAGAGCAGTTATGTAATGCTAGCTGTGCTAACTGACGTAAGGCTCAATAATGTCAGATGCTAAAGGCATCTTCTACTGGTGATGTAAAGACACCATGTCAAGTCTGTAGACCTTTGTCTGTTTCTTACAACAGCAAAGGCCCTGTTTACATTTACTCCGGTCTCATTCACACTTTAATAACACTTTTACCAATTCAAATTACTATCAAATTAAAACAGGAACACAACAACTATATATTGTTAATGCTTTTCTGATACCTTCTTTTGTTATTATTGTTAAACAGAACTTGGAATTGCCTAAGTTGGCATCAAAAGGCCAGATATTATAATAATGTACAGGTACAGTATTATAATAGTGTACGTACAAAGATAATAAAAATATCATAAATATATATATAAACATTGGTAAAAGATACTCTCTCAAAATATAAAGAAACATAAATGCAAGTCTTCAGGTCTTTCTAAAAGTACAGAGTGACTCAATTCTTTCAGCCATTTTTGTTAAAATAGAAAACCACAGCATAGAAACACACAAAGATTAGATCACAAATAATTACTAATGTCTCTAGTAAGAAAAATCCTATGATTTTTGAGAGGCCTTAGAAAACGTTGCTGGACAAGGACTTCAGTTTACCTTGCCCTCACACACATTAAAATTGTTGTAAGCATTTCTCAAAGCATATCTATAGAGCATTCAATTAAATTTGCTAACATTTGTAAAGTGTTTTTACATAGCTTTATCAGAGTTTCCAATAAATTTGCACTTTAATAGAGTGAGGAAAATCAGTATATTTGAACACACTGATATTCCACAAGTTCTCCCACTTAGAAATCGAGGAGGGGTCTGAAATTGGCATCGTAGGTGCATGTCCACTGTGAGAGATATAATCTGAAGAAAAGAATCCAGAAATCACAATGTATGATCTATTTGTTTGTCCTGTATTTGAACACCTGAGAAAATCAAAGTTAGCATCTACTACAGTAGCCTTTGATGGCAAATGCAGAGATCAAATGTTTCCTGCAGGTTTGCACACAGTGCAGGAGGGATTTTGGCCCACTCCTCCACACAAATCTTCTCTAGATCAGTCAGGTTTCTGGGCTGTTGCTGAGACACACAGAGTTTGAGCTCCCTCCAAAGATTCTCTATTGGGTTTAGGTCTGGAGACTGGCTAGGCCACACCAGAACCTTGATATACTTCTAACAGAGCCACTCCTTGGTTATCCTGGCTGCGTGCTTCAGGTCATTGTTATGTTGGATCACCCAGCCTCGACCAATCTTCAATGCTCTAACTGAGGGAAGGAGGTTGTTACGCAAAATCTCAAAAAACATGGCCCCGGTCATCCTCTCCTTAATACAGTGCATTCGCCCTGTCCCATGTGCAAAAAAATACCCCAAAGCATGATGCTACCACCCCCATGCTTCACATTAGGGATGGTGTTCTTGGGATGGTGCTCGTCATTCTTCTTCCTCCTTGGTGTAATTATGACCAAAATGTTATATTTTGGTCTCATCTGACCACATGACTTTCTCCCATGACTCCTCTGGATGATCCAAATGGTCATTACCAACGTAAGATGGGGCCTTGACATGTGCTGGTTTAAGCAGGGTAACCTTCTGTGCCATGCATGATTTCAAACCATTAGTGTATTGCCAACAGTAACCTTGGAAATAGTGGTCCCAGCTCTTTTCAGGTCATCGACCAGCTCCTCCCCTGTAGTTCTGGGCTGATTTCTCACCTTTCTTAGGATCATTGAGACCAACGAGGTGAGATCTTGCATGGAGCCCCAGTCTGAGGGAGATTGACAGTCATGTTTAGCTTTTTCCATTTTCTAATGATTGCTCCAACAGTGGACCTTTTTCCACCAAGCTGCATGCAATTTCTCTTTAGGCCTTTCCAGCCTGGTGGAGGTGTACAATTTTGTCTCTAATGTCTCTGGACTAGAGACTGACACAGGAGTGGATTTTCACTCCTGTCCCGTCCCACTCCCAGAGAAAAAATTAGTGTCCCGTCCCGATCCCGGGCCAGAGTAGAAATCTAAATCCTGTCCCGTCCCACTCCTGATGAAATTACTCCCACTCCATCCCGCTCCCATTCAGAATGACTCCCGCTCCTGCACCACTCCCATTCTTGTTTTTGAGTGCGGGTGAAAAACTCAGAGCGGAAGCACTGTTGGTTTTTGGGTCGTGTAGTTTTTTTGACTCGCATTATAGTGTAGGCTTCAAGGAAAAAAACTACAAAATTGCGGCGCCAGTACTGGATTTTTTTTCTTTCTATTTTATTTTATTTTTTGGCATCGATCCTAGTTTTTTTTAGCTACTATTGGTTTGCTCCCGCTCCCGTCTGCTCCCGTTAATGTTTAATCCTGTACCGTCCCAATCACGTGATCGTTACTAATACTGACTCCCATCCCAGGGGAATCCCACAGGAATCCCGTGACCCGTGGGATTCCTGAAAAAATTTCAGTCTCTACTCTGGACAGCTCTTTGGTCTTGGCCATGATAGTAGTGTGATTCTTACTGATTGTCTGGGGTGGACAGGTGTCTTTATGCAGCTAATAACCTCAAGCAGGTGCCTCTAATTTAGGTTAATAAATGGAGTGGAGTTGGACATTTTTAAGGTACACTAACAGAGTCAGAATTCTAGCTGATAGACAAGTGTTCAAATATTTATTTGCAGCTGTATCATACAAATTAATAGCTAAAAAATAATATATTATGATTTCTTGACTTTTTTTTAGATTATGTCTCTCACAGTGGACATTCACCTAAGAGGAGATTTTCAGACA